CCAGAGAGCCGAGCCCCGCCCCTGGGAGCAGGGCGGGGAGCGCCGGGCCCGCCCAGGAGCCTCAGGCCACGCCCCCGCGCCTCTCGGCCCCGCCCACCACGAGGGACCAGGACCGGCCCGCAGCGGGGTGAGCCTATGGGCTTCCCGCGGCCCAGCCACCACCTGACGCCTTCGGGTCTCAGGCCCGGGATCCCGCGCCTGGACGGAGCACGGGAAAAGAATGCTGCTTAAAATGGCACGATGGCAGCCCCTTCCTGACCGTGGACGTGCGCGAGGGCCCAACTCTCCACCTCCAGAGTATGAACTGACGCCCTCCCCACTGCGCTAACCGAGGTCGCCGCGCCGTGGGACGCAGGCCGGCGTGACCGCCGCTGCCAGGACGGCCCGAGGAGCCCCGGAGGTTGTCCCCCGAGAGCCCCCCTGGGACGGCCTGAGGATCCCACCGGAAGTTCTCCCCTCCTTCACACCCCCAAGACGCCCCGAGGACCATCCCCGAGGATCCCCCCCAGAATGCCCCAGAGGACCCCCTGGAGGTTCCCTCCCAGAACAGTCCCAAGGAGCCGCCTCCCCAAAGTCCCTTCCCCGAATCCCCAGCACCCCTCCGGAGAATGTCCCAAGACTACCACCACGGCTCCAAGGACTGCCCCAGGATGGCGTCCAGGACCGCATAAGGCGTGATTAGGTGGCCAGTGGAGCGATGCAAACTTCTCTAGCATTCCGAACTACGGAAGCCAAATAGAACCCTGACATATGCCTATCAGACCCCTTTCTTTTATCTAAAATCTGACATTCACTCAGTTCCACCCTTACTGCAATGAAAGGAAAAATGCTAGCTGGCGGATCAAAACACCAGCTCCCGCGTTGTCCATACTAATGTTGTGGTTCTGCCCTAGTTACCTTGTTTACTGTGCCCCGGGGCACATGTGTTCTAGAAGGTGGGGCCCAACTGGAGAAATGTGTAAAGCCATCTCGTGACTGTGGCTTACCTTAAATAGCTCACAACAACAAGAAACTGTAGTTAATTAGTTGTTTCCAGAGAGTCAGGCCCCTGACTGTGGGTGTGGTTACAGGAACCTCTCTACAACACAGCCCTGAAGCGCTGGAGGAATTGCCCAGTCTAAAGGGAAGCCTAGAATGCCCTGGCCGGCTCAGTGTTTCTGGGCAAGGGTGATCTTGCTAATCAGATAGAAAATTAATGACCCTGCCAGTTCCCACAAATTCCTCACTATTCACTACCGCCTCTGTAGGGAGGTCTCAAGGTGGGAGAGAGGGAATCCGGTAATGGGGGAAGCGAATCTCTAACAAAAATAACAAAACGGTATGTCCTAAATTAAATCTTGACCCACTTAGGTCCACACAATTGAAAAACAACAGCTAACTGACCTCGCTGCCCCAGCCGGCTTTTCAGTCCAGCCTCCATGCTGGTTTCACAACTCTCCTGCAGATAGTAACACATGAGCAAAATCAGACTCACTGTGGCACTCACCTATTTAAAGGTATTTAATGGCCCCACTGACTCCTTATCACATCACACATAATTGCCCAGTCTAGCCTCCTGGCCATCTCTCCAGAGGAGCCACCTGATAATCCAAAGGTCATCCATCAGCCTAGTCCCATCTCTTGACTTTGCTCAAGCGGTCTCCTCTGCCAGGAAGACCCATCTCCTCACTCCGTGCCATTAAAGAGCCAACCCCCTTCCTGCTTGTCCCCAAATAGCATCTCCAAGGTAGGATGTTCCCCTTTTCACAGCACCATCACATTGTTTTATTATAAACACTTGCTGCCTTTGTACCAATCTCCCTAGATGTATCTCTTGTCAGGTGGTAAATATGCTAACACACATCATGCAGTCAATGAGTGTTTACTGACTCAATGTTGAATGGAAAAAAAAAAAAAACTGGCTAAAAGACTAAAAAGTGAGAAATATGAACCAAACAGATTTAGAGAAGCCTGGTGGATCAGCATTATAATCCAAGCTGGGAAGTATTTCAGCAAGCAAAAATACCTGAACTAATGTGATAAATTTTTGCAGAATGCCCAACTAGACTATGTGCTATGTTCTGCATGGATCCATAGGTTCTAAAATATAATCCTTGCCCCTGTTACATTTTTGTTTTGTTTTGTTTCTAAATCTGTCTACCCCCCAGTAGGCAATTTTCTCCCAGAGGAGCTTAGACTTGTATACATGTACAAAGTAATTTGGTTAAATTTTTGTCAGAAGAATGGTTAAACTATTTTTTTTTAAGATTCTGTTTATTCATGAGAGGGAGAGAGAGAGAGAGGGAGAGCACAAGCAAGGGGAGGGGCAGAGGGAGAAGGAGAAACAGGCTCCCTAGGCAAGCAGGGAGCTGGACTCAGGGCTTGACCCCAGGACCCTGGGATCTGGATCACAACCTGAGTTGAAGGCAGATGCTTAATCGCCACCCAGACTTCCCAAAATGGTTAAACTATTCTGTTTATAGTTTGGATTATGCAACTATCCAACAGTTAGGAAGACCTATCTATATCCGTATATCCTTGAGGGCAGGAATAACAGAAGGCTGTGTACAATAACCCACCCCAGGATGTGGAAGGATTGAATTAGTGCTAACCAGAATAGAAAGAAACATAGCTGTGGGAGCATGGGTAACCCCTGTTGTCAGGAAGGAACCCAAGGGGAAAGGTCTCGGGTAGCAGGTAATTATTACACACTGAATCCTGAAAGCTTTGTGTGTCCTGAATGCTTTTATAGTCCCTTATATATAACGTATCCCATACAAAGAACACTAAGGAGGATATGGTTGATAAAAGAGATCATTTGTTTTAACACTAGATGAGACTATAATAATTAACTCTTTGTTATGGAGAACCGATAACATCTAAGGAGATAAGCAAATTACAGGGCAGGATATTTTTCTGTTGGTTCCCCAGAAGTCCCAGAAACTAGTATTTCTTGGACCTGAGTAAACTGTTAACTTTACCCATTCTAGTTCTCACAGTCCAGATGTGAAAAGTGGCATCTTACCCACTGCTCAGAAGAAACAGCCAAGGTAATGGAAAAAAAGAAAAATATTCAAAGGCCAAACAAGAGGGCCCATAGACTCCCAAGAGATGCCTCCCTTAACAGTCCCATATATGGGCAAAAAAAGGAAGAAAAAGGGAAAAAAAAGCAATCCTTGAGAATTTGCTTAGAATTAAACAAACAAAAAAACCTGTGGAACGCCAAAATAGCTGCTCATGCTCATTTCAGAAATAATGTGAGATTATGTGAGTGATTTGTGATGGCTTTCCCGCATGCGCTCGCTTGCAGATTTCTGAAGTTGTCCACCAGACACAGCCTCATGGCGAGAGGAAGCGCTGAAAAACGGTGCCCCTCCCAGCTGCTGATCGTACCTCCGAGGAGCAAGCGAAGACACTCCTAAGCACCGTAACCTACTGAGGGTCAACTTCAAAATCCTCCTGACTAAATCCTTTCTGAGAATAGTGCCTGCGGCCACTCTTAAGCAATACTTGTTTGTTTACTTGTTCCAAAGAGCAAAGAGATGACACAGGAATGATAGGACAGCAGGCCAATAGTTGCCCAGACATCCTCGGGGCTGGAATATCTCTTCCAATCAGAAAGAGGAGAGGTGGGACAGGCCAGGCCGGCCTGGGGACCTGAACAACTTCTTGGTTTGACTTGTCCTCCATGTTGTGTGTGGCAAAAACAATGTGTCCTGCACTGCAGGTTAATGTTTCATGCCTCATTTAACAGATTCTTAGAAATAGCTAGACAGTATGATTTACAACCATGTCACCTTACTAATGCTGGGGGCGTCATGTTCAGTTTTTAGTGGTTACCTTATTTTCCTCACAATTATGGTCATTTCATATTATGGAAAAGGGAAGAGGGTCGAGTTATTTAAAATACCACCTGGCTTTCTAGAGTAATAGTTTGATAGTATAAAGTCACCATGAGATTCCTGGAGAAAACATTTAATAAATTTGAAAGATGTGTTCTTGCTTTTCTACTTTATATGGATTATTTTAAGGAACAGTAATATTTGTTATTCACTTAAAAATAAATCATGCTATGCTTATATTAACTAGCTTAAAATAATTCATGAATATTAATTTGCCACTCTGAAAATTGTTCACTACCTCAGACTTCTATTAAACTGCAATCTGAGGGCACATGAAAGTTTTCTAAGTTACTTCTTTGTATGTTAATATAAGTTAATAAATTTTAGATATAATTTATATATTATGAATATGCTATTCTTACATGGAGATTATCCTTATGAGACACCTTTACATGCCCACAGCCTTGGATGATTTCCTGAGAAACACATAGGGAGATGTGGTTTTATTTTATTTTATTATTTTTTTTAAAGATTTTATTTATTCATTTGAGACACAGAGAGAGAGAGAGCATGAGCAGTGGGAGAGGCAGAAGCAGGCTTCCCGCTGAGCCAGGAGCCCGATGTGGGGCTCGATGTGGGGCTCGATGTGGGGCTCGATCCCAGGACCCCAGGATCATGACCTGAGCCGAAGGCAGACGCCCAACCATCTGAGCCACCCAGGCACCCCAGGAGGTGTGGTTTTAGATGCAAGTAGGAATTCAAGGTTAGGGGAAGATTTTGGCAGTCACTGTTAATGTGGACTTCAGTACTTAAAAATCATAGTGATCCTGTCCCATCACTAGCACAGCCCTTGAAGCCTATCCCTCTGTGGCTGTGAACCCAAGGCCTGGGGTAATTTGGTAAAGCTTTATGGATGCCTAAGGGACTAGGGAAATATGAAACTCTCCT